CAATGGTTGAAGATTGTTGTGTGCTTCTCAAATCAATTCTCATTTTCAACCACACATCCTTCAATAAAATAATATTTTCCATCACATCAATAATTTTTTCTTCTTTTTCAACTATACATTTCCCATCATATCACTATTCAAAATCAATTTTCCCCCCAAAAATATCTCACAAACAAGCTCACATAAAGTAGCCTACAAAACTTTGAAAAAAATTAAAAATTTAAAAAAAAACTAAAAACTTGACAAGTCTGTCTTGTCAAGGCAGCACACTATTGTCAGCTGCCTGCTGCAATTTTTTTTTTTTTGAAAAAAAACAAAAAAGAGCGGCTTGGCTCGGCTGGCTCATTGTTGAGTATTTTATTTTAAATAATATTGGAGAAGTATTAAGAGTTAGTAATAGACTTGAAGATGTGTTGAAGGAGTCCAAGGTGAATTTAACTTCTCCAAGGTGAATTTAACTACTAGTAGTTCATCTCAAATTCTCCATTACTGATTTAACCAATTATATTGAGATTTCATCTTATATTTTAAAGTCTTCATGTATTAATTCTCCCAATATGTTAGTAATTCTTTGACTATTGATTATAGTGAATTTTTAGCCTCTGTCAGTAGTTTTCCCGAATTTGGGTTTTCATGTAAATCTTATTTTCTTTGTGATTTATTATTTTTCGTATTGCTCATATTATTCTCGTCTTTATTATTTGGTCCGATTCTCAACAACGAGTATCAGAATGATTATGATATTTTGTTTGTTTTACAAGAGTAACGGTGACTCTAGTCCATATTTAAAATACCACAAGTTAGAATCTCAAGGATACAGAGATCAACTTATTATACAATTTCACTGCTCACTAGTCAATTTGACCACATGAAGGTGCATTGACCTTCCTTTGAGGAAGATGCTCAAGAAACTAGTTTACAAATGAAAATAACTACCTTCAAACATTAAAAAATATCAAGCCGACGGTCTCAAAAGATCAAGATGTTTAGCTGAAATTGATTTAACCAGTTCAAAGCCCTTTCTATCGTTTTCTTCCTCAATAGTAGCATCTATAACACCAAGAAGTCCCACTTTGTAGAATTAGGAGGAAGTGTTCTTAATTTTGTTTTTTCTTTACACTAATTCTGTATGCATAACTTTCCTCACTAAGAAAACTACAGGCACTATTTCAAAGCATCAGTGACTTTTCAGCTAGTGTCTCCCAACATGACTGTTGGAGATTCGAACCCTGGCTTATGTTGCTACCTTATATTTCACCAAAGTCGCATTTTGTTAAACACGGTTTT